GTTATATATAACTAACATCTCCCCAACACAAAAATACATCTTGAACATATAAAGATTGACAAAATTGACTGCACTCACAGGGTTTAAGATTGATGTTAACACCAAGTATTAATCTGGTATGCTACATCATTACGGATATTACTTCTGGAGAATTTTGTAAAGAAATGAGGAAAAAGAGGTACAGTGTAGAGTTTTATGTTTGGGACCTTTTTTGACTATTCCTTAAAAGGAATGGGGCTGTTTTAAAAATCTAAATGAAGTGTAAATACGCTTTAGAACAGCTATAAACCTTGTATAGGTCCTATTACTACAACTGAGGTTTTCCATAAGAATGAAGTCTTTGTAACAATACTAACAGCATGAGAACACCTACATTCATAGGAATTTTTTTCCCTTTTCCCACACAGCTAAGCAACTTTCTTCCCTCCCCCTTCTGTCCCTCGTGGAAAAATACTGCCTTGGTCTGCACATTTCAATGAACAATAATTTAATCAATTTCACAATGTGTTCTATTTAGACTATCAATTTCTTCAAATCTGTTGCCTTTCAATAGAGGGTTTGCAAGGCTGCCGACGTGCTCCACAGGGTATGCACAAAGGAGATTTCCCTGTGAAGCAAAATGTCTGCCGCGTAAGATGGCTACCACTCAGCCTCTATAGATACGGATCATGATCCTGTAAATTGCACTCTCTCTTGAATGTTTTTAATGTTACAAAGCCTAAAATGCAGCTACATGCACTGGTAACAAAATTAAAAAAGGTATCAAGACAAGTATCTTGTTGGAATTTTGAATACTTAAGTATACTTCCCTTCTTAAAACAATTACTGGGGGCACTTTCCATGTGACGATATCATGAAATCTACACATACATGTACATGCATTCATCAAGTATATACATGGAAGAGATTCACCATGGTCATGGCTACTAAAAACTCCAAGTCATTACTCCACGTAACTTGGAGATGATTGTTTATGTGGGGTCTTAACACTATGTGTATTTTAATCAAGCTTTTGCGGTAATGATCTGGAAATGCAGGCTCTGCTTTTTCAATCAAATTTTCCTATGACAGCAACTGTGAGGTGCCAATAGCTCTTGAAAACAGTGTAACAGAGGTTTTGGAGCATGCATGAGACCACTTTTTTTTTGAAATCTGAGATTTTTACTCATCAATCTCTTGTTTCCACCAAGCAACGATTTCACCATTGTTCATTACACTTCGCATGGCCAAGCCATGGCATTTCGGTTCCACCAGTTTTGGGTGGTGAGGGATATCCAAGGTCTTGCAATCTGTCACAGCTATGCAGCGCATGTCACGCATCCTGATTTATCAGCTTACAAGAAGTAACGTGGCAAGGATGGTCACACAATGAATACAAGATGCCATCTCCAGGTGGGGGATTTGAAAGATCTTGCAATCTGTCACAGCCACACAGCGCAGTGCATAGTTACACAGAAAAGACCCTCATGCAATAAAAACAAGATGCCACTACTGCCTCAAAAACGTCGAAAAGGGATACGGAGCAAGCTTGACCATTGGCCGGCCCAACGCATGCACATGATGAACACAAATGGCATAAATGGTGCAATCATTGTTGGGTGAAGGTAGAGATTGGTGAGTAAAAATCTATATTTTTCAGGAAATACTCAGTCTCATGCTCTGAAACTCCTGTACGAGTGTTTTCAAGAGCTATAGGTACCTCAAGTTTGCTCTCACAGGAAAATTTCGATGTAAAGTGGTTTTCAAGTTGTGGATCATTCACCTCTCAAATTTCATTAAAAAACCACTAGCGTTACGACTCCACGTACACTACCATGACTACATTGGCTCAAAGTCAGAGTAGGACAGAGCAGTGACTTTTGAGTTATCGAAGTAGTAAACAGCCATCTCCAGGTCACGCAGAGTAGTGACTTAGAGTTCAAGTAGGTCATGGCAGAATTCAAGTCAACTTGGTCGAAAACCAACTCGGTCGACTTGGTTTAAGATGCAGACATTTGTAAAAAAAAATTCTTGAGTTTATGCTTTTTTTCTGTTCAGTGGTATCTAATAAAATTATTTTTGCTCTTGAAACGTTTTCATTTATATTTCTTGTATATTTCACTATTTTCGTAATGATACATTTTCTTGTTTTGGGTTGGACATTTTACAGTGGGAACTTTCATGCAACATTAAAACCCCCGTTTTCTATTAGATAATGTAATATCTGGTAATAAACCTATACGCT